GAGAGGAGAGGAGAGGAGAGGAGAGGAGAGGAGAGGAGAGGAGAGGAGAGAGCTCTAACTGCCTTCCACTAAAGGGCATCTCTCTCCCTGCCTGCCTGCCCTTTTTTCTTTCCCTTTTTCTTTTTGCTGTAGCCCGTTTGGTCTATTAGTGCAGTTAACCTTCCCCGATCCAGACGGAGAAGGGTTAATGGAGACCGGGCCCCTGCAGCCTCCGGGTCAGGGGGTCGGGCAGCTCCAGGCTGGAGCCCCCAAGCCAGGAGCTGGGTGGCTGAGCGAGGACCCAGGTCGCAGGCGCCTCACCCGGGAGCGCGCTGCTCCGATCCCACCCGTGGGGACTCAGAAGGGTTTGTAAGAGCCCTGGCTCTCAGGCCACAGTCCCTGGTGCTCTGAGGAGCCTGCTCTCACCCTCCCAGCCGCCAACTGGGGAGCGGGATGATTGATTGATTGATTGATTGATTGACTGATTGACTGATAATCACGCGATGGGTTTCTCTGGGAAAAGTCCAGGGAGGGGAAAGAAAGAAGTCGCTCCCCTTTCCTCACCCCTCCTTTCCCCCCAAAATCGGTGCCCTCTTGATTCTGTGCAACTGCCTTGATGTTGGTCCGCCTTCCAGAATTGCAAAGCCAGGTCCTGCTTGAGTTTGGGGGACAAATTCCCCCCAAAGCCCTCTGGCTTGGGGCCCCAGCGCTGGGCCGTCGCTGGGGGTGGCTGGATACCCCCAAGGCTGGATTCCCATCCCTGGGGCATTGTCCATGTGTCACCACGGCCTGCCTTCCCCCTCAGCCTTCCCTCCACCTGCCCAGGAGCCCGAACCCAGGATCCACGGTCCCGTGCCCCCCAGCTGGTCCTGCCACCCGCGGCCGCTCTGGACCCAAGGGGGCGGCGGGGAGCAGCGGCCACTTCGGCCTTAGAAACATCCCAGGAGCCGAGGGCCAGGGGTGGCAGGGGAGAGCCAGCGCCAGGAGGCGCGGGTCTGGGCGAGGGCGGTGTGCGGGCAACACCCGCGTCCGGGCCACCGCTCTGCCCAGGGGCTGCGGGTGGCGGGACCTGCCCGGGTCCCCGCTCCCTGGCCGCCTGGCCGCTGCCACCCAGGCGGGAGCCGGTGCCTTCCCATCCTGCCCCCCGTGCCAACCCTGACCCTCACCCCGCCGCCGCCTGCGCCCCGTCGAGCAGGGAAGGACCAGGCCGGCCGGGGGCTCCCCGGCGGTGGTCCGGCCGCCCCCTCCGGGGCCCGCTCCCCCGCCCCCTCCTTGCCAAATCCCCGAAAGCCCAAGCCCCTCCGCGCCCCCGGGGGCTCCTAATCACCCCGCATCGATCCCCCTAACTCCTCTCCTCCCGGCGCGGACACATCTGAAAGCGCTCGGCGCGCCCCGGGCTTCCTCCGCGCTCATACAACGATCGGGCCTCCGCGCCGCGCCCCGCGCACGGGAAAATCGTTGGGGCCGCGGCTGCCGGTGTGTGATCAGTAAATATTTAGTGCGGCGACATCCTCGGCGGCTCCGGATCGATGCGGGGCCCACCGGGAGGGCCGCTCCCGCCCGCGCCGCCGCCGCTGATTTACGGCCTCCGCGGCCGGCCAACGGGGAGTGGGGGTGGGGGGGCGGAGACGCGCCTGGAAAATTGGCTTTTCCACCTTTTTTTACTTCTGACACGCAGCCGCCTCCCCCGGCGCTGAGTCTCGCCCCTGCGCCCCCCGACCAGCGCGCCCCGTGCGTCCTCGGTGCAGCCCCGGACCCCCTATCCCTCAGCTCTGCGCCCCACTGGGGAGGCCCAGGCCCCTGATCGCGGGGGGGGGGGGGGTCGTCGCCTTCAGATCGTCTGCAGACACCCCTCTCCCGGACCCCCGTTCCTGCCCTCGGCCATCCCCCCATTCCCCCCCGCTGGGCCTCGACGCCCTCGGGCCAGTGGCATCCGATGGAAAGTGAACTTTCCGTTTCCTTAGGAGCGAAAAGGCGCTTAGTCAGGGGGGGCCAGAGGGGGACCTGCTGCCCCGATCTTGGCTTCCAGGGGGGCTGCGGCCGCGACGGGGCCAGCGTGGGTGCCCCCCGGGCCCTCCCTGCCTCCCCCAGGCGCCCACTCTGTCCTGATCCCACGCCTGGCACCGCGCAGAGAGCGCGACCCGAAATGGCGTGAGTGCCACTCGCCACCCCCCGCGGGATCGGCCACCCCCGGGGCGGATCCAGAGTCCGATACTAACCACCGAGCTTCCCCAGCGCCGCCTGGGCCAGAGGCGCGGGCCTGGGGCTCCAGCCGCCGCCACCTGTTAGCCAGCCCGCTCCCTCCGCACCTGAGGCCGGCCTGTGCCACCCGGGCCGAGACAAGGTGGGCGACCCCGCCGGGCCCACGCACCCTCCCCGGGGCCCGCCGCCCTCGCCTTTGGCTCCCGTGTGATCTCCTAAGCCGCCTTATGTGCAGACTCTATCTTTATCCTAATGCATACTTAATTGGCCCGTCCCGACTGCCCGTATAAAACAATTTAATTAGGGCGCTTTCTGGGAGAAAGGCCTCCGGCCGGGGCGCGCTGTCGTTAGCGCCAACACAGGCAGAAAATGTAGCACAAGTTTTTGGTTGAAAGAGCGCCTCGGCGCCCATTGAAGCGCGCTGATCCGCAAAGACAGAAAAGGACAAGGAGAATCGATTCGAAGCGACCCTCTCTGTCCCTTTCACACCATTCAGAAGCCCCATTCCTTCCCACACAAAGCCCCGCGCTTGGGAATTCCCAGGGGGAAGGGGGACTCCGGCCCCACAAGCCCAGGGCGCTGGTAAGAAATTCGGGGTATTGCGCTCACAGCCGCTCTCCGTGGGGTGCCCCCCAGCGCGGGGGTTTGGGGGGCACCCCCTTTGGATCGTGCACCAGGCTGCGGGGATCACCACCCCCCTCCTCCTCCTCCTCTTCCTCCTCTTCCTCCTGCCTGGGCCGCTAGACCTGCCTTTAGGGTTAGTGCAGCCCTCACCTTTGACCCCCAGTGGTGGAGCTATCCCTCAGGCCGAATTGCAAACCAAACAGAGCCCCCCACAAATATTTCTCCGCCCCCCAAACCGGGAGACCAGGTCTGCTGGTCCGAGTAAGCCTCCTCTCAACTTTCATCTGTTTGCAAGGACCGCGGGGGAGCGAGCTGTCAGGGCCGCTGCGGCCAGTTGTCCTCCATTACGGGCCTGGATACAAGGCCAGTGGGTCCGCCAGGCGCCTGGGCCAGAGCAGCCGGCCATCCATCAGACATGGTGGAGAGGGGAGGAGGAAGGGGGCAGAGGGGAGGGAGGGGAGGGGAGGGGATGGGCTGTGTGATTACCTTCACCTGCCCCAGCCCAGCCCGACCCGTGCTGGGGTTAAAAGGGGCAGGGGCGAGAGGAGGGGGGGCCCCCATGACACAAGTGGCCTCTTTTTGGGAGAGAATCAGTTCACCAACTCCCCACGGAACCTCCCCATCCATCCATCCATCCACCCATCCATCCATCCATCCACCCATCCACCCATCCACCCGGTGCAACGGATGAGCTGAAACCATAAGGCAAAAACGTGCGCAGCCCGTATTTATGGTATTAATGACTAGTTAAAAACAGATTTACACTTCTTATGATCAATATTCGGAGTTCTTTCCCTCAAAGCGTATAATTACAGTGTCTTGGGGGGTTCTCACCATTGTTTTGTTTTGTGTTTTTTTTTTTTTTTTTTTGGAGGTGGCAAACCCATTTGTAATTTTCATTAGGCAGTAAACATGTAATTAACACGCAGCACTGTGTTTAACTTAATTCCTCTTTAAGACGGAGGACAAGAAGCAGCCGAGAAGCCCGCGCCCCATTTGTCAAGCCTGACATACGTCTTCCAGTACAGTTTCCTAAAAATAAAATACCCGTGTCCCCCATTATTCCTCTCTTAAAACAAAACACCAAAATCCAGCAGTTCAAACTGTATTAAACGCGCACGCCACGGCAATACGGTACTCGCTGTGTGCCTGCTTTTATTCCTTGGGGGGGGCCTGAAAGGGGTGAATCCAGCATTCATTACCCGATGACAAGACATGGGGAACCCCTCCCCCCCCCAGGAACAGGTCTCCTCTTTGAGAAAGTTCTAGAATGGGGACTGGGAATGGGGTGGGGGGCAGGGAGCTGCAGGGGAGAGGGGAAAATCACTGGGGAGTGAGAAGTAGCAAAAAACCAGAGGTCCCTCCAGATGCCTAGGGAAAAAAAAAAAAAACATCGCCTTCTTATTTCAAGCCCCTTCTCTGACCCAGGTGGCAGCTTGCCTTTCCCCCCCCCTCCTCCCATCTCCATCTTCTCTCCTCTGGACCCCAAAACGGGGTCCTGGCTGCTGCGCCCGCCCGCCAGCTCGCCCTGCCTCGCTGGAGCCCCTGGCGCTTCCCTGGAGCTCTCATTAAGTTGGGGGAATTTTTTTCTCCTTCTTCTCCCAATTGGACGGGGGTTTTTGAAAGTCTCGTCTTTCCAGCCCCAAACAAGGTGTAACGGTGCACTCTTCCTTCTAAGGAATGAGATGAGAGACAAGGATCACTCCAGACACCTACCTACGGTTTGGGGCTGGTGTGTGTGTGTGTGTGCGGTTTTTTTTTTCCTCTCTCTCTCTCTCTCTTTTTTTTTCTTAAAGGCGAGGCTCGCATTCCTCAGCAGCTATGCACCAGCTCGGGGAAGGCTGCTGTCTCTAAAGTTAGCGGCGCAGGGCGCTCCGAGGGCTGAGCCGCTTGCCCCCCGGGGTAGACCAGCGCTCAGGCCGCCACAGCCACCGCCTCTCCTCCCTCCACTTCCCCGCGGGCAAGCGAGCGAGCGAGCGAGCCAGCGAGCTGCGATCGCCCACTTTTTTTCCTTTTTTTTTTTTTTTATCAGTTTGCACAATCGCTTAGATAAACACCGAGGAAGAGAGTCAGTCTCTCTCTCTCTCTCTTTTTTTTAATTATCCCAAGACTCATCATTTCAGGGGTCCAACAAAGCGCGCCTTCCGCCCGCCAAACTCAAAGGAGACACAGTCCCTGCAGTTGGTAAGAGGAAGATGCAAGCCATTTGGGATCTTGAACAAGGCAAATATGGTTTTGGTATGTTGGCTTCCAGCATTTTTTTTTTCCTCCCCTCTCTCTCCGTCTCTCTCTGCTTTCTCACTTTCCTCCTCGCGCCGCCTGGGGTTGGGGATGAATCGGGGAATTTTTTTTTCCAATAATAATAATTAATAATAATAATAGCCGTCTTGCTGTTGTGTATGAAATGCCTCGGGTTGCGGTCTATGGGGTTTGGGACAGTCGATTCATTGCATTGCCATATTTTATTACATGTGTGTGGTGGAGGGGGGAGGCGAGGGGGGGAAAATACGATCTCGAAGGTGCCAGAATGTGATCAAACCGGAGGGGGACAGACCGAGGGGCCGCCCCTCGCCCCTCCTGCCTGCCTGCCAGCTCCAGCCCACCGCCTCCGGGAGAGCCAGCCGGCCCGGGAGCCGCTGCCCCGGCCCAGAGCTGCCCCGGTCTACGGGCGGAGGAGCTGCTAGGCTCGTGGATTTCCCAGGCGATCGGCCGCCGAGCCCAGTCTTTGCAACCTTGTGCAAGTGACAGGAGGGAGGGAGGAAGGCAGGCGAGCCCAGGCCGGGCTCTGGGGAGCCAGCGCCGGGCCCGGGCCAGGCCAGCAGGACGATCGCGACCAAGCGGGGTACTCACCGTCCGTCCGGCGGGCTGGCGGAGCTGGCGTGCGGGGCTGCAGGCAGATCGCATACCTTTTGGCTGTCTGTTGCCACCGTGGCGGGCTGCTGGCTTAAGGAAGCCATTCTGGGCCGTGTCCAGCATGTCCCAGGCACAGGTCCTCATTTAAAAAAAAAAAAGCCAGCGAGAGAGAGATCCACGACAGAGACAGAGAAAGAAAAAAAAGAGAGAGAGGAGGGGGTGAGCGGGACGCACAGAAACCCAGATCAGGGGTGGGAGAGAGAGGGAAAAATTAAAAAAAAAAAAAATCACCTCGCCACCAGTGACACGGGAGGCGCAAGAGGTGGCGACAGGAGGGTCCTGGCCCAGCCAGCCGGAGCCCATTCATTTGAAATCCCGGGGCGCGAGCGCTCCCCATTCAAACGCCCCGAAGTTTCATCCTCGCGCGCCCACGATGCCAGCCTCCAGCCGTTTTCCCTTTAAGACCCCCCATTCCTCTCAAAGTTGGGTTTCGGCAGACAGCAAGGACTCTTACACTAGGGGGCAGACGGATACTGCACTTGCTCCGATCTCTCTGCAGCGGATTTTTTTCTTCTTCTTCTTCCTTCCCCTCCCGGCATATGCTCTGATTTAGCACTGTAAATTTTTCAGGGGACCTCACTCTGACAGCCCCTGGTGATATTCAAAGTACCACAAGCCAGCGGTTTAGAAATTGCATTGACTTGGAAGTGGAGAGGCACAGAATGGCAGCGCCCGTCTCCCATTCAGGGAGCTAGAAGGGAAAAAGCACCCAGCAGGGAGACTCCGTGCATCCTGGAGGACGGGGCGAAGTGGGGATGCAACCCAGCGTTTGGCTGAGGTCTGAGTCTCCTGAGAATCATAGCGGTCAGGCCGCGTCTCTGTAAAGCAATCCCACTCCTGTGTGGGTCCCCTGTGCTGGCCTTTGGCTTCCCAGAGTTAAGACAAGTGTGTTTCCAACTTTCCCCTCCCGGCCAAAGGAACTGCTTGCCATTTCTCTCATTAAAATAAATTTACATCTGCAATAAAAGACTGGGCTGGATTTATTTTTTTTTCTTCTTCAAACGGGTCACAATGTATTGGTGTTTATCCGTCAGTCTCAGAGCTGTTGTGTTTCAGAAAATTAAGCATCGCTACGTAAGACATTTTTAATTATTTCTCTTGTTTTTCTTCTCGGTCTGCAGTCCTTCCTTACAGTAGAATTAACTGCAATTAATAATTTTTTTTTTTTTTTTGCTTGTTAATGGCTTCTGCCTAAGGATGAATGGGTCCCAAAATACAGAGTCAAAACACTTCTGACTTTCTGGTAGCCCTGTGCCTAGCAGGTTCAGGGTCTGGTTCTGTTGTGGACGGCTGTGCCCGCACAAGAGGCGAGATTAAGATTCCCCTTCATCAATTATTCTATCATCCATTACCCCAAGATGGGAATGGCCCTCAGGTCCCCCCCTCACCCCCATTCCCACCACAACTCTAAGGAGTTCTGATCCTCTGACATTTGCAACATCAGGCGACTTCTCCAATCCTAGAGGCTGAAGATGGGGGAAATACTTTTCTGGAATAATTTCTTTTCCATGCTTCCTGTTCCCCTCAGGAGAAAGTTACATTGTGCCTATAATCAGCCTAAAATTCCCAGTCTGCCTTAGGTCTGTGGCAACCTCCTTACCCACCAGCTTAAGGCAGGTCACTGTCCACCCTAGGTTTGTGTTTTTGTTGTGTGTTTTTGGTTTTTTTACAACTTTCAAATAATCCCAGCACCTGCATCAAACATGGAGAATTGTCCCCCGCCCCCACCTTCCAGAACCTTCACTGTTTCCTGAACTATATGGTTTCAGCGGAGAAAGGGCGAGAGCTCAGAAGGTTTCAGAAATGAAGCGGAAAGATGATTTTTTTCCCCTCTCTTCCCTTAAAATTAGCCCTTGTCTGCCTACATCTCCACCTTCTCTTCTGCCTGTGGGTGTAGAGAGTATGGAATGCAACATGCAACATGCAACCTGCACATGTCAGTTTCATGCGTGGCGAATTTCCCTAAACCACTCTCCATCCTTTTGATTTGATTTTATTTTTTTTTTAATGATCAAGGATACTTTCTCTCGGTCGCCCCTCCCTGACTATTTCTGTGGCCACGTTTCCTGCAGCTTGGCGTGTTGTATGTGAAACATCTTAGTTGTTCAGAGACCTGGCTGGCTGACCAACATACAGGTCTTTTTCCTGGTGCCAAGAGTGTGTGACGAGTCACAGTTTTCTTTCGTAAATATGGAGCTAACTTCTCCTGATCACACAGAGAGGTGTGTGTAGGGATGGTGTGTGATCTCAGAGGTGGATTTGGGGGAATTTCTAGATGTTTGATGTGTATAATAACCAGCGCGGGGGGAACAGAATGGCAGGGGCCAGGAGGTTGGCCTCATTGGATTTCCTGGGGTAGACTATGGCCCGTGTGGGCTCCTGTGAGTGTGCTGGTCTTGTCCCCAGTTTGGGGTGTGTTTTAATGGCGACGTGAACGCTTTTAAAGGAAACTCAGGGCACAATGAAGTCCGCACTCAACTGTGGGACCTGGAAATGCAGCGGCTGAAGTCTTTGTCTGTGAACATTGACAAATGTGCGTCTCATCCGTGTAACTTCCATGTGTGTGCAGAGGGTACCCACCGGAGAGGCTGGAGGCGGCCTCCGCTCGGCCATCAGCGGGCAGACACCAGCCTTTCTCCCTCTCGCCCTGCCTGGGCGCGGGGCAGGAGGCTGGCTGGCAAGTTTAGCCCAAACCAAGGCGACAGGATAAAGTTGAGGGGGAAATTTATTTTAATTGCGTCATGACAATGAGATGAAGTCTGTGTCTGCTTCTCAGCATCCGAGATGCTTTATTTGAGCAATTAAAATGTCAGGCCGCATACCTGTGAAATGTTAACCCTACAAGGAAAGAAAAGGCAGACTCTAAACAGCTTTAAAAAAAAAAAAAAAGCTCTTTAAAAAATAAAATAAAATAAAATAAAAAGTCACCCAACCAAGCGAGTGATCGGAGTGGATTCAGAGAAGGGTCTAAATGTTGCCTTTGGAAATCGCCCGCGGGCTGGATCCGGGGCGCCCTCCCACCCCCACCCCCTGCCCCTCTGCGGGGAAACGGGGGGCTGTGCCCTCTCTCCCGGGCATCGCGGGCACACGGATGCGCCGGGGGTCCCGCGTGGTGCGCGCGCGGCGCGCTCCGTGGCATCGCCAAGTTGCCAAGCGGCGCAGTCCCCGGTCCCCTCCGCAGCCGCCCGCGGAGCCTTTAAGAGGCGTTTTGTCTGCGCGCCGCGCTCCTCGCCCGCGGAGCCGGGGCGGAGACCTCGGGTGCGGGGTGCGCGATGGATGCGGGGTGCCCCCTCATCCCCACGGCAGGCGGCGGCGGCGGCGGCGGGGACGCGATCGTCTCCACCCGATCCTCCGATCCCTCCCCCCCCCACCTCACCCCGCTCCCCCCTCCTCCCCGCACCGCGCGCCCCGAGCCGCGGCCGAGACCCGGCTCGCGCTAGGACCGCGCGGCGCCCCGCGGCCGCCATGGCGGGGCCGCCGCGCTCCGGCCAATGACGGCGAGGGGGCGGCGCGCGCGCGCCGGGCCCAGGCCAACCCCGGCGGCTGCCTTATAAGGCGCGCCGTCGCCATGGCAACGTGCGCTAAGTTGCAGCAGTCGTGTCAAAGTTCACTATATAGAGAGCTCAGTGAGCTGATCGCGGAGCAGCCACTTCTGCCAGCCCCGGCGCCTATAAATCGCATTCCCTCCCGCGCCCCCCTTTTTAGCATATTTGATCACTTTGATTCTCTGTTCTTTCTCTCTCTCTCTCTCTCTCTCTCTCTCTCTCTCTCTCTCTCGCCGCGGCGCGCGTGTGTGCGTGCGCGCGTGTGTGTTTCCCTCTCCTCCGCCTGCCTCCTCCTCCTCCTCCTCCTCTCCCCCGAGTTGCCTCCTTCTCCTCCGGGCGCCGCCGCCGCCGCGCTGCTGCTGCTGCTGCTGCTGCTGCTGGCTCTTCTCTCCCCTCTTTCATTCTGCCTCTCCGTCTCTCTCCCGCCCCGCGCCGCGCGCCGCGCAGGATGTGCTTCTAGGTGGTGATCGGCCCTCCTCTCTCTCTTTTATCCTCTCTCCCCCGCCGCCCGGCGAGTTGACTCTTTCCCTATGTGTGTGAGGCGGCGGCGGCAGCAGCGGCTCCAGCAGCGGCGGCCCCGGCGGCGGCAGCAGCGGCTCCAGCAGCGGCGGCGGCGGCGCTAGACGCGGCGGCTCCGGGCCCGACCCCGCGGCGACTCCGGCGGCGGCGGCCCGGGCGGCCCGCGGGGACCGGCGATCGGCGATCGGCGATCGGCCTCCATCCGGAGCAGCCGGGCGGCCCAGCGCCGGGACGACGCCGCGCAGCGCCCGACCCGGACCA